GGGGGGGTAAAATATGATCTAGACATTGAGTTTTGTGAGATTCCTCCAGTTAAGAGACAAAGGTTCCCCACCAGCTCCATCTGTAGCCTCTCCTCCTTCATTGAAAGAGACCGAGAGAGGAGGGGGACTCAGACAGCAGAATGCTTTTACAATATTTGTACACCTTCAGTATCTGTGGAGCATAGTGAAGCGAGAGCAGGTGCAGGGTGATAAACCCAGAAACAGCAGGGTAAGGGAGGCTTGAATGTAGTGTGCTGGACCTGGTGGGTAAAGGCATATGATGAGCTATGATCAGTCAAATGAAATGAGCTGAGCCTCTGCACTGCCCGGAGGAGCCTGCGCCGGCTGCTGTTGTGATTGCTGCTGCGGACCGCCGGGGGGAGCCATCTGTTTAAAAACACGAGACGACAACATAATTCAGATTAATAAAGTGCTACAGTGCCAGCACTTTGTCAGAGGCACTGAATCTGAAAGCAGTTTCCCATTCATTTTCCAGTAGAGATTTAAAAAAAGATGTTTAATGTTTTTTAAAGAAGTCTCTTATGCTCATCAAGGCTGCATTTATTTGATCAAAAACAGTAAAAACAGTAATTTTCTTTTTAATATAGAAACAGTAGTTTTCTATTTTAATATACTTATTTAATATAATATACTATAATAAATACTTAATAGAATTTTTCCTGTGGTGGCAAAGCTGAATTTTCGTCAGCCATTAATACGGTCTTCAGTGTCACAAGATCTTTCAGAAATTATTCTTCTATGCTGATTTTCAATGTTGGAAACAATTGTGCTGCTTAATGTTTTAAAGTTATCATCTCGGAAATCATTTGTCATGTTTGTGTTTATATCAAACTTTGTATAAAAATGTCAACTTTTCAAAAAAAAAAAAGTAATTACTTCAGGTTTAATTTTCACAAATGAAACTGAAGGTCGAGCACATTGCATGTTGCGATATAATATTCTGTCTAGTGTGCTCCACTGTATACTGCATATTTCTGATTAATTTGACCGTACAGTATAAAATGCCTGAGGTGCATACTTCACAAATACTGTTGAAATAGTAAGAGAATAGTAAGCTATTCCACACAAATAAAATGTTTCTACATAAAAATGCTGACCTGCTGGTACATAGGCTGCTGCCCAGGCATGTAGGGCTGTTGGGGAGGCATGTTTGGGTCTTGTCCTGGAAGAACGGTCATCATATTCTGCAAAAGAAGTTTAACAGCAATCAGAGCCAGTCTCCAAACTTTCCTTTCCATATGGTTTTTGTAAGCAGGGAAGAACATCAGATCTGAGACACAGGTTGTAATGCAAGACACGACCTGCGATCTGATACAGTAAAACAAAAATATTGTAAATACAGTAAACGTACCTGCATGCTGTATGGCTGGTAGCCCATGTAGGCAATACCGTTGGTGGGGGCAACCTGGGACATGGGGGGCAAACTCTGAGCTTGAGAGACCACGTTCTACAAAACGAACATGCTAACATTCATGCCAAACTTTCAAATTAACTGTAGAACTCATTAACTAGACTTGCTCTTCCTGAAGGAAATAACTGTGGAAGCCCCATTTTTGCTACTGTATAAAAAATATAAAAAGGTAATTGCGACTTTTTAACACACAATTCTGACTTTACAACGCAATAGTGAGTTATAAAGTTAGAATTGTGAGATATAGACACGCAATTGTAAGAAAATAGTATTTTTTTTCCCCCTCAGAATTGGACTTTATAACTTGCAACTGCAAGTTTACCACACTTCCGAGAAAAAAAAAAGGCAGAATTAAGATAAACATGCAATTGAGTTTATATCACACAATTCTGAGAAAAAAGTCAGAATTCCGAGATGTCATTTGCAACTGTGAGAAAAAAAAAAGTTAATTGCGTGATAAAAAGTCACAATTGTCGTTTTTTATTTAGTGGCGGAAACGGGCTTCCATAAATAACAGTACTTGTAAAGCAGTAAAATAATATGAACATTTAGGTAACTGTGAAGACGTAAATTGATCTCCTGACCTGGTAGCCCTGTGTCGGTGTGGGCTGATAGTTAGTGTAGGCAGGGGTGGTTGTGGGAGGGGCTTGTCCAGGGGCGGCTGGCTGCCCACTGGTGCCTGCAGTCTGATACATGTAAGCGTTCACCATGTTGGGATCTAAAAGAGAGTGAGCAGAGACTCTATTAAATAAAAAAGTGCCACATTTGAAGCTGATGTTGTTTATTCATTAAACTGGTTTTTAAAGAGTGATAAAAACAGAGGATGATTGGTTGACCTGTAGCTGACACAGGCATGGCCTGGTACGGGCCACCGGCAGCTGTCTGTCCGGGCTGGTTCATGTAGACTCCATGCATGGGCGACCCCTCCACTGAGCCAGCAGGACTGAACGTTCCAGGATAGCTGGGAGGGCCAGCGGGGGGATACACCACCCCTCCTGCCACGTTAGGAGGCAGTGACTGCATCTACAAGCACCAAACAGCACATTACAAATAGGACTGCAACAACTAATTGATAAAATCAGTAACAATCAATAACAAAAATAGTTAAACAACAGATCTGATTATAGATTAATCATGTCTTTACATTTTAAAATGCTAGGGAGTTATGTGATTACTTCCATTTCCATAAAGGATCATTCTGACATCAGTCTAAAGCCGCAATAGAATGGGAGCACAATAATTCTGACTAAAATAAACATTTTGCTAAAATATTTGTCGTTTGATGTTAAACTCTGCATGTGACACAGAGAGCAGTCACTGTATAGAGACTGTTATACTGGAGTATAAATTTCATATAATTACTGTTTAGATGAATGTGCATGTTCATCCTGCTTCGCAGCAGTTAATATTCAGCCTGCGCTTTGATTTTCCTGTAATATCACTTTTAGTACAGTGATTTTAACTTTTATTTTTAAGTGGTAATCAATCAGGTTTTTTTGTATAGAAATTTTATATTTATATTTAACCCTTTTCACACATAATATACAGAACAACCTACATGGATACATTCATTATATTAGTTTACATAACCTTTGGACAACAATGCACAAGTCGTCCAAAAACATTTGGTAAAAAATGTGTTAAAATGAATTCATTTTTTATATTTAAACATTTTTCATCTGATTAATTGATTATCAAAATAATTGTTAAAGGTGCAATAGGTGATTGTGGTCTAAATGTCTTTATCTGTATTTATATATTCTGTGGAAGGCGTAGGACCAAGAAATGTTCGTCCAATCAAAACGCTCGGTCCGTTTTGTCAACATTTGTATTTGCATACCTCTACGCACCCGGTTCGCGCAGACAGGATACGTCATCAGCGCGTTCACGCACGCGGTGCAGAGAGAGCGAGAATGGCAGACAAACATCAACAACCCGATCTTCCTTCCTGGTATTGTAGTACTTTTACTAACACTGTACTATAAAGTTTTCTCACAGGTGAATGACACATGATGTAGCCCAGCGGTTCCCTGCTTCCTACTCCCTGAGCAGGGGAAATCCGTTTAAGGGTTTACTTAAACAGGGGGCGTGGCTTTGGACGGCGATTGCAGGGAGGGTGGGACGTTCGCTTTCAGTGCTATCAGGCTAAAGTTAGCATTTTCCAAGATCTCCTACTGCACTTTTAATTGTCTAATTAGAAAAGGCAGATCTATGAGACCAGCTTTTTGATAAATCCAACAGTCATACAATGTAATCTTTTTATCTAAAATACTAAATATTTACTATATATTCATGTGACGAGTGGGGGCGGGGCCGAGAGCCGTGGGAACGGAGCGAGGCCGGTGGAGTAATTGATAATGAGCGACACCTGCACCACTCACCAGTCTCGAGTCCCACGGAGGAGCTCCGGAAGGAATGTAACAACGTTCGTAGTCACGGGAAGGAGGAGGCGGGAACTGGCGAACGTTCAAAGAAAACTTTAATAAAATAAACAAACACAAAATGAAAGTAAAGCGGCAGCCCCTCGTGGACGACTGCCGCACACAAAACACAAAATAAAATCCAGGCCTGGTCCTCTCTCGTCTTTCACTGTCGTAACTCCTCCTTTTATCCTTCCGGAGCTCCTCCGTGGGACTCGAGACCGGTGAGTGGTGCAGGTGTCGCTCATTATCAATTACTCCACCAGCCTCGCTCCGTTCCCACGGCTCTCGGCCCCGCCCCCACTCGTCACAATTCACAATGACTTTGACAGTCATTTAAAGTTAAACAATGAGAACACTGTAATGACTTTAATACATTTTTATATTAACCCTGAAGTGGTCATATTCTTAGACTAGTTTCATGATGCTTCACTTGAATACGAGTCAATATTCTTGCTTGAGTTGATTTAACAAAAAATTTTTTGTTAATATTTTAAAATGTATTTGTACTTTTTTTTAGCCATTTTAGAACATATAATTACAAAACTGAGAAAAAACGTGTATCATCCAGCCCTACAACTAACTTACAAATCTCATTAAAAGTAAACTTAACTATTTATAAAGATAACAATTAACAAATACATAATGTGTGTAATATTTATCATGACTGATTCATTGATCAGCTCGCTGAAAGTGTCAAATGTGTGTGTGTGTAGCAGTGCACACCTGTGCGTAAGGCAGAGAGAACGCAGGCATCTGTGCTCTCATCTGAACGGTGTGTTTCTGCTGCTCCAGACGCATCTGTCTCTCCTTCTCCTGCTCCTGCAGACGCTGGATTGCGAGCTGTCTTTGCATCTCCAGGTACTCCTGCAGTAACCAATCAGAGTCAGCGTTCCCTCATCACATGATTCACAGACTCAAAAGAAAAGCAACTTGCCTGTTTTTTCTGCCTCATGATCTCCAGTTTCTGGGCGAGCTGGATTTGTCTCTGTCTCTCTGCCTCCTCAGCAGCCCGTCTCAGTTTCTCCCTGTGCTCCTCTCTCAGAGCGTTCAGTGCCGCCCGTGCGTCACGCACCTGCGCCAGTTTGTCCTGAAGACCCTCATAGTACACTGAGCGAGAGAGTAGACAGCATTCACTATCACAAGGCACCTTGTATTTCAAAGGCGTTAGGGACAATACTTTGAAACTGCAACCCAACCAGCTTCAATATATTCGTACATTTTGTGTCATTTGGAAAGAGTAGTTATCTACACTGGAAGTTACTAACAAAAAGATCAAGCTAACAGCTTGAAGGCAGCAGTTTCTAAATATATTTAGAAAGTTTTAAATTGAAACCAAGATACATAGTTTAATTAATTTTGATATTTACATTTAAACAGATTCATTTTCAAATTATTTATTTCTAATTATTTTAGTAAATATATTAAGCAGTTGTTATGCATGTGTTATTTACTGTCCTTAAATGAAACCGTGAGAAATCAAAATAAATCCTGAAACTGAAACGTATTCATTTTCAAATGATTTATTTCTAGAAAATACTATAATTATATAATAAAAATAATATAGTTACTATATTTAAAGGGGTCATATGATGCGATTTCAAGTTTTCCTTTCTGTTCCCCTTTCGGGCTATGTCTGTACATTTATTTTGAAAGATGAAGCTCGCGATTATGGTAAGGAGCGTTACATTTCCGACGAGTGCTTGCGGTGTTCGGCCAATCACAATGCACTGGGTCAGCTGGCCAATCAGAGCAAACTGCGCTTGTCGGAAGGAGGGACTTTGTAAAAAACGAAGCGTTTGAGAGAGGCGGGGCATAGAGGACCTACAATAATGTACTGTTTGAAAAATAATGTGTTTTTTTAACATAAAAAAGCATGTACACATTCTGTTGCACCAAATACACAAAATAATGATCTTTAAAAAAGCATTATTTAAATATTTAGTGGGAAATAAAAAAAAAACATCTAATTTATTTTGATAAAAATCTATTCATTTTACATTTATTTCTAATTATTTCAGTAAATATGCAAAAACAAATTTATTATAAAAAATATTATAAAAATGGTACAATTTAACATTAGTTAGTACATTATGTATCACGAACTAACAACTGAACAACAATTATGGTTCATCTGAAACCTTTAGCAGTGTGTACTGTTTTGATCCAAATGATTGTTTTGCAAAATGTAAATTGAATTCTATTTAATAGCAAAAATCAAATTTGGTGTTTTTCACTATTTGGCATCAATTAATTAATAAAGGAGGTTTTCTATGCACACAGGAAAGAACTCACTAAATGATAATGAAATTATGTTTTGATTATTTTCCTTCACAATAATTAACGGTTTTATTGAATAGTTGTTGCAGCTCTAGATCAGATCACAACATGTTTTGGACCCCATTTACACCTATATTTAGCACTGTGTGTCAATGCAGATACCAGGTGGACACGGGCTTGAGACACAAACATGCACACGTGACTCACGTCTCTTTTCATCCAGCTGGTTGAGTATTTCCAGCAGCTGTGGGTGCAAGTTGTTGATGGACTGGAAGAGCGAGAGCACAGCGCTGTCGTTGGTGATGCTGCGGCCGCGCATGTGGTTGCTCTTCATGCGGTTAAGGAAGGTGGTGACGGCGTTCTGCAAGGCCTTCAGGAACTGCTCATGGTTCTCCTCAGATTCTCCATTCTGATACTGCTGCTGAAGAGACAGATGCAAGACGTTCAGTGCAGAACATGATTCAACAATTTTCTTGATTCTCCATTTCCAGTGCTGCAGGTACCTCCACTATGTTGATGGGTTGGACCGGAGCGAGGATTTCCACTGGTTGGCTGATTGGCATGGGCTCAGCCAGTGAAACTGGAGCAGGAGCAGAGGGGGTGGGACTCTTGCGAACCTCTTCCTGTTTCTTCTCCCAGTAAGTTCTGTTTAGGTAACGGGCCAGCTGAAAATATTACAAAAATTATTTAAATACACTAACTGGGTTTTTCATTTACTACCACTCGAGTGTTTTTTTTTTTTAACACTAAAAAGTTTGTCCTGATAAAAATCATTGTCTTTTTTCCAAATGAAAAAATACTTAAATACTGAAGAGACAGATGCAAGACGTTCAGTGCAGAACATGATTCAACAATTTTCTTGATTCTCCATTTCCAGTGCTGCAGGTACCTCCACTATGTTGATGGGTTGGACCGGAGCGAGGATTTCCACTGGTTGGCTGATTGGCATGGGCTCAGCCAGTGAAACTGGAGCAGGAGCAGAGGGGGTGGGACTCTTGCGAACCTCTTCCTGTTTCTTCTCCCAGTAAGTTCTGTTTAGGTAACGGGCCAGCTGAAAATATTACAAAAATTATTTAAATACACTAACTGGGTTTTTCATTTACTACCACTCGAGTGTTTTTTTTTTTTAACACTAAAAAGTTTGTCCTGATAAAAATCATTGTCTTTTTTCCAAATGAAAAAATACTTAAATACTTGCAAAAGTGTCAGTAAAGGCACAATGTTACAAAAGATTTCTATTTCAAACAAATGCTGCTTTTGATCTTTCTTAATTATGAAAGAATCCTGAAAAAAATGGGTAACAGTTTCTGAAAAAATACTGAGCAACACAATTGATAATACACAATATATAATTGGGTAACAACATTGATAATAATAATAATAAAAAAAATGTTTCTTTAAGCATTTTAGAATGATTTCTGAAGGATCAGACAGGAGAAATGATGCTGAAAATTTGCATCACAGGAATAAATTACATTTAAAACATATTCAAACAGAAACAGTTATTTTAAATTGTAGTAATAGTTTTTTTTTTTTTTATATATATATACAGTATTTTCAATCAAATAAGTGCAGCCTTGGTGAGCATAAGAGATTTTCAAAAGCATTTTTTAAAAACTAAAATTTTTTTGAGCAGCAGTGTACATAATTACATTAGATTATTGACATATTTACTGTACTAATACAAAATCAACTATTTTTGAAGGAACTGGTTGGTTTTTCACCTCTGGATCCACGTCTTCAGCCGATGGAGCCGATGAGTTCTGAAAGGTAAAAAGAGAAACGATTTACCCATTAAACATAAATTTAGACAAGGCGTTTCAATTAATAACTTCAATGAATGTTTCTTACCACGGGAGAGGAGTAGAGAGTGCTGACAGGAGGGGCAGAGGAAGTCACAGGGGTGGGATCGGCTTTGGGGTACGCAGAGTAAGTGTTCTTCTGTCTCTGTAAACAAACACAATCATGACCCCTTATTTATGCTGATGCTGAACGGCTGGCTTACAGGTATTAGACATCGTACCATCCTCGCCTTCTCCTCGGCCTCACTCTGAGACAGCGCGATGGCCAGCTGCAGCTCCTCTTCCTCCTGCAGCGCAGCCTCATCTCTCTTAGGAGGCATCTGAGGAGCAGAGCAGCAAGAGGAGGTCAAGAAGAAAACAACAGGAAGATGTGGAGAGGGAGCCGTACACGTTTTGATTACATTTTGGTTTATTTATATATTACCAGTGCACAAATATAGAAATTTTGGCAGACACACAATTTTTGTATTATGTTTTTAAAAAAACAATATTGTCTAATATTGGATTTTATAGAATAATAATGAATAATGAGTAAGGGGTCAAATCATTGGCTTCCACTGATTCGGACAAAACAAAATTAATTAAAACACACCAACACTGATACTGATATGATCACTGAAATGTTGTGCATCTATATTAAAGGTGAAGAGCGTAATTTCTACAATATTAACAGCACCAAATGAAACTGCAATTTGTCTGTTTGCCTGACATAACATTGTCTCTACCATTGGTGTGAATCTGATTAATTGTTATGAATATACATGTTCAAAAGTTTGGAGTCAGTAAGATTTTTTTAGTGGCCAGAAAAAAAATTTTCTTATTTTTTTAAGAAATAATATTTTGTTCAGCATGGATGCAATAATTTGATCAAATATGACAGTAAAGACATTTTATTTTAATAATAAAAAAATATATTTCTATTCATCAAAAAAATCCTGAGAAACATCAACATTCTCAACATTGCTAACAGTAAGAAATACTTTATGAGCATCAAATCAGCATATTAGAATGATTTCTGAAATATCATGTGACACTGAAAACTGGAGTAATGATGCTGAAAATTCAGCTTTGCATCACAGGAATAAATTACATTTTAAAATAAACTAGAATAGAAAACAGTTGTTTCAAATAGTACAAATTTTACTTTTCTTTTACTGTATTTTCAATCAAATAAATGCAGCCTTGATGAACAAAGAGACTTCAAATTCTTATCATATTATAATTAAATTAACAGCTCCTACAACAGCCAGCTGTTTTTTCAGTAATTTTATTTGGTCCATACTAGTGGCACAGAAATGATACACTTCACCTTTAAATACAGTGTTTATTACTGATTGGAGTGGGATTGATGGTAAGCACACAAACTAGACAGTAAAATTTGCTCTCACTCATGAGCCTCAAAACTGCTTTGCATTCGGGGTCCAAATAAACTTGTGCGTGAATGATAAACTATTGGTTTATTGTCCGTTTCAATAAATTTGGTGGTATGCTTCATAATTGTGATGCCCATGAGAGTGAGCCCTCTATGAAATGTAACTACTTACTGATTCGGTGGGCACTACCTGAGACTGCTGGGACAGAGGGCTGGTCAGGTACTCAGGGGGAAGCTCGGACTGCCCAGTGCTGGCGGCCTTCCCTTCGGCTTTCCTAGGAGGGGGAGAGAGGGAGGGGTGGCTGGTGAGGAGACACACACATCCTGGTAAATCTCTGGTAGTCAGCTACAAGAAGATATTACACAGATATAAAGAAATTTTCTGATAAAAGATGGGGAAAAAAAGCTGCCTTTCTGTCTAATGCCTACATCAGCTGCAACCTAACTGAGATAGGTCATAAGTGACTGATTTGGGACAACAGCATCTATATACAATTAAAAAAATTTAAGTCATAAGAAAAACAAATGTTTTTAAAAGAAGTCTCTTTATGGAAGAAAAATAATGCTATGTCTTTGAAACAAAAAAGCACGTTGAATAGCACTAACTGAAAAAATAATGCATTGCATTTCCAGGGCTTGCATTTTTAGGTCCTGAAATTTAACGTAGTTGTTTATTTAAGCTGTGAATATTTCAATTCAAAATATTTCACACACATTTTCATAATTAAAAATTCAATAATTCAAATTCACCTTCCAGAATTCACTTCCAAATTATTCAATCTGTTTAAAAACACGATGTATAATATTCGACAGGCAAATTTCGGTCAATTTTATTTCACTTTCCAAATTCACTTCCTCAAATTCAGTGGTTAAAATTCGACAGAAAATTCGGCATTGCACATCCGGGAGCTGCAGGAATAGCAGTAGAGCACTGATGCATGATCTCCAGCTGCTGTCAGTCACTCACCAGCAGGTGGCGCAAGCGGCTGTTGATGAAGACCAAAGCAACA